CAAAAATAATATTATAAACGATTATTATTTTATAAGGAAAAACTATTTAAAAAAATTATCTAGTTTCCTAGTTTTCTGTACTGGCAAAAATGCATATATATATGTATTGTATATATATATAAATATATATACATATAAATTAATACTTCATATATACACACATATATTATACATTATATATATATACATAATATTTGATTTTAACATGCCTTTTAAGCAAAAGTAGTAGTGATAGTGATAAGTTGGAAAGGAATAAATAAGAGTAATCACACACGCAATCGTTATCAGCATCACCGTATTATTCATCATCGTAATCATCATCATCATCATAACGATCACCATCATAGCAATCATTATCATGAACGTCAGTATCATCGTTTAATTTTTGGAAAATTTAATTTAAATAAACGAACAAACAAACAAAGAATGAATGAATGTATTAAAGAAATAAGGTGTATAATAATTGAGAGGATGTGTATCATACAAAAAAAAAACAAATCAACAAAATAATAGTAATAATAACAATTACAATATTATTATTCTTCAATAATAATTCCATATAACTTTATAACATATATATATATATATATATATATATATATATATATATATATATATATATATATATATATATATATATCACGGTAAAGCTAAACCATTTAAGATGCATAAACATGAAAATAAACACACACACACAGACAGACACACACACAAAAACACACACAGACAATCTCATAGTATTTTTTGCACTCTATTAGTATATGATGAGTGGTTTGATTTTGACAGCAAATTTCACTAATAGGAGGGTTTGTCTCTCTGAGGGTCCAGGGATGGGCGACTGCCGAACAGCCGATTTTTAATTTCATTAATTAGTTTGCATATGGCGATTTATATAAGTATTTTCAACAGTTTTGTTATTTATCGTCGGTGTACTTTGCTTAACTTTACTTAACATATTTGGGATTTCGTACCATTCTTGTTGCCATTTTCGATAATGATGTTATTTATTAGATGATTCACCCACTGATTGGAATTAGAACCCGTTAAATTGGAATTGAATGAATTTGTGACGCCATCTAGTCTACTTCAGAATTTGAATAAGAAATTGAACATTATCTCGGTAAAGAATTGCTTGACAGACAAGAATCGCCGCCCACTGTTGATTTCAACGGCCTGCCATTTTTCATCAATGGCTTGTCATTTTTCATTTAAAAATATATTTTTTTTCCAAAGAATTCCGGCTATTTGGCCAAATTCACAATTCGGTGCATCTCTAATGCAGTAATGCAGACATAACAAACATACTACATACACAGAGATACGTACTCCAGTCAAAAAAACGCACACACATGCAATACACAAATAAATGTACACACACACACACACACACGCATATATATATATATATATATATTTTTACAATATTCTATAAATTCTACCGAATGTTTGGCGTTAATATGTTTGAAACGCCAAACATTCGGTAGAATTTATAGAATATT